GTAAATGTTTTCAACTAGTTTTTCTTAAGTCCTGACCACTTAGTCAGGCACGATATGAGTTAAAAATAACCTCTACCATATATAATAAACACTTTCGCCATGGCCTTGGCCAGTGATCGACTGAGGTTCACTGGAAATTGCGGGGCACTCCGGAGTGCACCGGTTATTGGTGTTTGTGTGTGGTCCCTTGTGGAGTGCTAGCATTATGTAAGCAATCTGAGACAGATCCTGATTCCTCACTCAATCAAGACAACCTGCATACCATTTAGGATGATTAAAAAAACCGCCATTCCATACTGGCCGCATAAAATGCAGGAACTTTCCTAGCCGTTAAATCCGTGCTATGGGGCACTTCCAAACCCACCGGGCACTGCTAATCATGTAACATTCATATTCATCTGGAGGTCCCTCTACCAAACATCTAACTTTGTCGCTATCCACCTCAAGTTCTATCTGTGTTAATCCCGAAATACACTGAAACTCTGTGATTCTTCCTGCTCTTTGATTGTGTCGTGGATAAAAATTAATGGTTGTCGTTTCGATTTGGTACAAAATTCAGTGCTATAGCCTTGCACGACACCATCTTCAACCTCCTATTTGAACGCAACATCAGCGCCCATGTTGATTGGTGCCTCCAAATCTCAACGACGTTCCCCCAAATTTGCGTTGAGTTTCCCTAACCGTGAACTAAATTAGAACGGAAATTTCTAGAGCGGATATAAAAACTCGGCGACAGAATAGACGATCAAAGCCCGAAATAGGGTCAGTGCATTGAGGTGTCGAAGACCCATATAAACTCAGATGTTTAAACAGCTTTTCTCAGCAGCCCCACTGGACGGTCCTTCAAGCATTGTTGACAACCTTGATTATGCCACTTGTAAGTATAAAAACTGTCGTGCGCTGTAGGGTGTTTGCTTTTGAAACTTTTGGAAAAAGTCTTGTTTTGCGCTCCATCCACAGAAGGCCAAGCTTATATACATTTTCTGTAGTTAGTTCGCCGTCTTTTTTGTAGACCGTGTGTACGGATGTGAAGCTACGGCAGAAGTTACCCCGAATCTTGACCGAGCGTTATTTGTCAAATAATTTTTACCAGACTCTGCAATCGTTAGATACTCCTCGAACAAGACTGTCTTCTCCACTGTAAGGTTAAACAGGACATTTCACCGCGCCGACTTGTCGCGAAGGCGCATGGAATGCAACGGCAAGCCGTATATTTTTATTTATTATCCGCTCAATTCCCTCTGAGCCAGCGCACATGGTTTGCGCCAAGCTTGGTTTCCTTAATTTGTCATTGGCCTGCTCCCTTCGGTATCAGTTATGAACAAGTCCCATTCCACACCTATCTGAATTACAATATCTGTCGCAGCCTGTGTCCCAAACTTCTGTGACAAAGAGGATGGCGTTCCAGTGATCGGGCAGAAAGAAATTGTATGTTTCATTTGTTGAGTACGCACTTTTTCCTCAGATCTACAGCCACTTCGCGACCGCCTCTCCTTGTGTCACCCGTATCCTCCAATTCGTGCAGGACGATCAAGCCAAAAATGCATTTTATAGGGGGTACATCTCCTTTAGTTAGCTGCTGAAGACCATAAGGCTAACCTCATCCGACAAAGTCTGACATGTATTAAAGATCGTGCGGAATGGTGGAAAGTTTTAGACATTACTCAGTTTTATTTTGACACTGGCTAAGGAGATGCATACAAAATAGCTTCGTGGATTCACGGATTGATACACAGGATCAATGCTATTGCCCAAGTTTCCCGGGTCGCTTTTGTTCTCGTAATTTTCGTTCGTTGATGTTCACAACCAGTGGTTGTATATCGTGATGGCACTTGCGTGCGTGAGCATATTCGGTTTTTTGCGCAGTACTAAGTCCCCGGATGCATTTAGGTAAAATCTGACACCCGTTGGCATGCCTGTTAATTAACTGAGGAATGAGCACATGATTTCTAACCATCATGTTATGCGATGAGGAGGAAACAGAAGGATGCGTTCACTCGGCATGGACGGAAGGCCGTCCTGTGAACTTGGGTCGCTCATCCGTAGCCCCAGTGTCGGCTTTACAGTACGCAGTGTTCCAAACTGGTGCAATCCACAGGGTTGTAGATGGTCTGATCAGCCTAACTTGGGCGAAAAGCCAGCAAGAAAGGTGAATCGACGTTGGCTAAAACTCATCACGCTGCACGGTATTCACCAGTCTGTATCACTGGCCTGAACAATCGCATGAGCGCCACAGATTGCGCAATTTAGCACGTTGAATTTTTTCGCTTAGGCATTCCAGCAGATGAACAAAGCCGAAACCGCCCAAAGGATGATTTCCCGGTTCCTGTAACGTGCAATCGCCGCTGTTTAAAAAGGTTTCACTTTCTTCCTGAATGCTCAGCCAGTCTGCGGGAACCTGGCAATCAATACTTTTTTGTGAAATACAGCCACTGAAAAGCTGGTGACATTTTTGCTTGGCTTGTCTCGTTCATATTTAGAGCGTCGGACTCAGTTACATCAGTGAACATCGCATTGGAGCTACGGGAATAATGATGGCTTTTTCCGTCGCATGCCCACAAATGGGACGAAAAAAGAGCACCACTCGGACGGAGCAAAATGGCACGTATGGCCTGCGCAAGTGATTGCAAATGTGGATTCATGAAAAAAGAGGCTTTCTGAATGAATGTTTTTAAAAGTATGCCAACGACTCGCAGTTGACCAGTAAGCCTATACTAGAGCGCTCTCGTGGCGAGGTCCTTCCAGTGCTTGGACGAGCAGATCACCCACATGATAAATGCCGTATATAAGACCAGTAGGCATCCTTCCCCGTATGCTATATTTTCACGTCCACGTGACTAGACTTGTAAATTCCCGAGCCTATCATCTCATATCCTAAACGCGGTCGAGGTTGTGACGAAATTCCGCGCTCATAAATTGAGAGATCAAATGAATATTTTTCTTCTGGAAATGAGGAAAATAACTTTTGGTTACATCTACAAACATACTTGCCCATTTACTTTTCTATGTTCACCCAGATTGTCCAAAATGTGCAATGGACACATGGAAGTCTATCAACTCGGAAGGTAAGGCTGCTAAATTTTCTTCGATTTTTTTGGAGCTAACAGATCATATTGGACGACAGAAATGAGAGTTTGGTTTCTAACAAATCCTCCTCTAACTTTACACGTGGGCTCACTCCCTACCGCCACTTGACGATGTGGCAAATATATATCTTGTTTAAGGATCTTAATCTGCACGCTTTAGATCCGCTATGTTCCCACTGCGGTAAACGTTAGATGCTTCTTCACGCACAATTCCTGCGCAATACGCAGTCCGGTGTTTCTATGCCAACTTCTAATTGTCCCTGGATGAAAGCTGCTATTTGGTCGATAAACCGTACGACAGAAATGAGAGTTTGGTTTCTAACAAATCCTCCTCTAACTTTACACGTGGGCTCACTCCCTACCGCCACTTGACGATGTGGCAAATATATATCTTGTTTAGGGATCTTAATCTGCACGCTTTAGATCCGCTATGTTCCCACTGCGGTAAACGTTAGATGCTTCTTCACGCACAATTCCTGCGCAATACGCAGTCCGGTGTTTCTATGCCAACTTCTAATTGTCCCTGGATGAAAGCTGCTATTTGGTCCCAAGATAAACCGTTCGCGTGGTGTATCTTTGAGCACTCGACCTGGAAGCGAAATATCTTCGCCAAGCAAACTCGAAATCCCGGCTTTTCGTGGTCATCGTAAAAGTCTGGAGGGTGGATCCTCCACCCTCAGAAGTGTTAACGGTTTTTGCCTGAGACCCCACGTGTATCCTCATAATTTTATCACACAATATGCAATTTCTACAACTTTGTATAACATAACCTCCGTGTGTATGACAGAACGCTAAACTCATCTGTTATGCGGTGATCGGTGCAGCGCCCCACTTGAAACAATTCTGAATTATTGACAATTATCCATATCAGTAAATGCTTGGATGCGTACATGCATCTATTTACTATCACTAGTTATATTAGGATAAATATAAAACCCTTTTGTGTCGTTAAACCACATTATTCATCCATCGGTATCTTCTATCTGCCCGAAATCCACCACCCCATGCTTGACTGACCAAGTCCCGTAGACCTACTAAAATATTCCACCATGAACGAACTTTGCACCACGGCGATTCGTGCTCCCCCAGTCTACTACATTCTCCCGCCAACTCCATGTCCTACTTGAACCCAAATTGTGACAAAATAACGAAGTACACTCAAATGCATACAATATGATATGACGTGAGACTGGTCATACACTGGTGATTGAAAACTATTCGACATCCCACGACCGGTTTACACATTTCAGTCCGGCTAACCAATTAGGTAATATCCCGAATAGCTTTTTCTCAAACACCAGTTGTACAAAGCGCTCAAATGTGTACCAGTTTCGTTTGGCAGGAAACTCAACCACCCGAATCCCGTTTTTAATTGAGTGTAGCACCAAAGTTTTCAAGAATAGCGTGATTGACTACGCCAATTGCCAACTTGGTGTAGGAATTTAGTTCAATGTTCCGAAAGTTAGCTGGACTTTAGAGAGACGCTGCGGATGCAAGTTGCACGCTGTGTGAAATTTCGTCAAGTTCCCCGAAATTAACCCCAGGAAGAATCAATTCGCAAAAATTTGCCAATCCGTAGTTATGGAATGCAGCCAAAGTTATCATTTATATATATGTATCTGGTCACAAAATGCACGGGTTGAACATGAGAGGATATTTGCTGATATCATCCCCTCAAATGCCTGGACATTCGTAGGTTCGTTAAATAGACAGTTAGCAAGACTCTTAGGGTATGCACCTCTTAAGTTGCTGTCGATTGTTCAACACCATTTTTAGGCATTGCTTAGTTGTTACGAGGATGGAACTGTTATTTGCTTATCTATGTGCTGCAAAACACAATTGATCCTCATGTGAGGATGGTAGAGTATGGGCTTTCCGGAGCTTCGAAAAGTAACTTGTACGCATCAATATTTATTACATCACAACAGCTGTTCCCTCTCGCCACACGATATTTATTGGCGTAATAAACACACTGCAACTGTAAGAAAAGAAAGTTGGGATTATTCACTTGTCGTCTCATTGGATGATTCAACAAAATTTGTCAGCTGTCATGATCTTCAGTCATCCATTAATTTATTCTATTCTGGTACGTTAGTCGACAGAAAAATATAAGCCGCACGAGAAAGCATACGAAGATTGCATGAAGCTGTTCAGAACACCATGTGCAGTTCTCGTTTGCCTGTTAGGAGTCTGGAAACAACCAACATTCTAGGATATAGGATTTCGGTCTGACGCAAAGGCTGACAAACCAACATTAACTCCCTTCCATCATCAAGCGCAAATGACACATTACTTGCTTTGTGTAAACTCACTGAAGATCACGAAACACTAAGGACTGCACGTCGCGCCGTTGAAAGCTTTAATGCGGGCTCTGAATGATTAATACTAATTGCAAGTGGAGCAGTTTTCACCAGCGTTCCTGTTAGGCGGCGAAACTCTAGGCGGTAACATATGAAGACCAATACGTAGGACAGTAACACATTTGAAGGAGGTCTCAAACCATTGAAATTACTGTGATCATGTGACTGGGATACTGTTGACACTTCCGAATAGCCAAACATAAGGAGCTGAGTGGGGCTTCATCAAATTCTACGAAATTTGTGTAGCGAAAAATGTTCAATTTTATTTGAAATTACCAAAAATTCACGCATAAACTTACAAACATTACTCCGGTTTACTTTTCTGTATGCCAAGCAAAACAATTCCAAGTATAGTTTTGAAATCTTGTGAGGACGAACCTCAAAGCTCGATTCAAGATAGCAGTTTACTAATTTTCCAGTTACGCTGAGTGTGGAACTGTAATATGGGTGACATCAACCGTCCTAGCAGCATAACTGCATGGATATTTGGGTTCGTAGACGTCAGGTCCCATCTCGTCACCTGAGCTAAACCGCTGCCTGACACATCGTTTACGGTGTTTCGGCATTTCCTAATGAAGCTTTCTGGTATCATACTTTGGGTTAAATATGGAGAAACAGGGGGAGGCATGTAATCCTCTCATTCAAAAACGCTGTCAAACAATTCTCTGCCAAGCTTTTCGATGATGGTGACGCATTTAATGGTCTGCATCAAACCAAATGCCAAGATAGTGAACAGTAGGATGAGTGAAATTTCTCCAGCTGCTCCACATTGCATTTGAATGTGGTTTCGACATCGGACCTAACTGAATTCCGCTGATGATCTCAATCATGAGTCTAAATATAGGCCAGGGCAACAATGTACCGTCGATGGAAACCCAGAGGCCTCATAAATATGATGTTACTCACAGTGTGAAATTACCATTGGAACCACAATACACCGGTGAAAAATATCGGCTTAGTGAATTTGCGCAAGATTCATTACAGCTAAATTCCAGTTTATCTCAGGCCGGATTGTGGTGCGTAGAAAGATTGTTTCCGTGATGACCGGGTGCTTACCAGGCGTCCGAAAAGCAGTGGAAATTTGACGCAAAAATCCATACATATGCCCAAAGATGAAACAGTGTTACCCTCACAAGTGATGAGGAAATCGGAGCATGCTGAGGACGAAATGGATGATACTGGCAAACTGGTGCAACTGACGGAAAATCTAATATGTGCACTGTCTTTCAACTCCATCACTAGGAAGCACTGCACTATTTCAAAAGCCACGTAGCTTGAAAACCTGTCTCTGACGCATATGTGCTGCACCCCGTATCGGATATGGTTGAAATCGTTGAAATACGTGTCGTAAATTGTTTCGTTTTTCCCAAATAGACGCCTACACTTGGGTACTCAAAAAGTTATGTTTCGCCAGTACTAGACGGGAACTGCTCAAGATCCCCACATTGTCAGATGAGCAGACGTCTCACACGGTGTACAGGCTGTTTGAATATTCCTGAAAAACCTGTTCCTCAGAATTCGTATTAGTTGGTCTGACTAGGGGCAAATTTTCCTGGGTTCCCATTGGTGCCCACAAAAGCAATAAATTTGCACGTAACATTCTAGCTGACTGATTTACAAACAACCAGAACTACACTTTTTTCATCTAATCATTAAATGTGCTGACTCCTGTAACAATGACTTTCGGCTACAATTAACAAAACTGCCCAATAAATTGATAATGAATCTTCCAAACCAACAGCTTAAGACTTCAAGCATTTCCATACTAACTCGAAGCACTGATCAAAAGGAATAATCATCATGAAGGGTTTCAAGATCAGAAATTAATACCCGGTATGTCGGATGTTGGAACCATAATCCGGTATCTCACTTGACGTGTTTGGACTGGATAGGCGTGGCGTAGCTGCACACGTTCTGCATCCGAGTCGCCTGCTAGGCGTGTATAATAGAAATCAACACTGATAGATTTACCGCTGTGTGGAATCAACCAAAATGTGCTTGTATGGTAGGGTACTGGGTCTAATTCAAGGGGGATGTGTGAAAGTATGAGAATGCCCACATCACCAACGATCACATTTTGGTTAAAAACCGTCGTTCGTTGACGATACCAAGCGGTTTCACAAGCAACTACTTGCAGATCAGGGAAAACAGTTTTAGAACGGAACCGCTGAGAATGATCATTGCTGGTCAGCGCAACGTAGGCACCCGAATGCCAAATTCGGGTCGAAGCGGACGATCATAAAAACAATACTCATTCTGCCGTGACTCTCTTTTAGTGTGTCATGTGACCCCAAGTCAGCACGAGGGTCAATTCACTGTCTATTTCTAGACGTTAGTGGCCAAGGTGTATAGCTTGGGTTTGAACAATTGACCTTCCGGTCTGCAAGGTTCTTACTCAACTACTGGGTCATGTCGAGGCCTTTGGGTACTTTTGGCAACGGCGGCTAAAAGACCTCTTGTTCCCCCGGACACTAATACACCAAAGACACCCGTATATTTCGCTACCAGATAAAAAGATAATCCCGTGACAACTTTTCACACTTCTAATTCACACAAGATTACCAAAGCGCACGCTAATGAATTTTGTTAGCTACCTCTCTGTTTCAGCTGCCGATCATCAGCTTTATACCATGATGATAGGTATAGCCGAATTATTCATGCTTCGTTTGCACGGGGGACTGACACAGTGCGATTAGCAAGAGCACCACGAAAGCAAACATGAAGTATTTTTGTGTGCACCAAAACGGACGGATTGCACCAGTCAAAATATCAAATGCACTAGTAACGGTTTGACTTCTGTATTGATTTCTAGACCAATATGCCACTTACTCAATGGAAAGTTGAGTATATATTAACTGAATGAGAAATGAAGGGGAGTGAGCACGAAAGTTTATGCAATCCAAATTTGTAGGTTGTGTCAAAATAGCCTAAAAACCGAAGTGAATAAATAACTAGGTTCCGAAATTTTTTAAAATGAATTTAATTACCACAAATGGGGAAAACGGGGTGCCATTCGCACAGTTATACCAAATGGTCATTTTACCGCTTAGTATTCAGTAAGTAACTAGGTGTCATGATGAAAGTTTGGGGGGAGATTTTTACGCCGAAATGACAAATGAAAAATAGTCACTGTGTTTGGTCTTCCATATCCCAAATCCCGTGAAGCAACTTTATATAATGTTGGTGCACCGAACTAGGCGTTTCTGCTCTGTTTGTGTGTATCCTGCCGTACAACGGAGAACAGCATCAAAATGTGCACATATTCAGGTGTATTTTATCCCACTATCTCAATGAGTAGTATTTCGTTACATTGTTCAATTTGTTCTCAAGCGTTTGTTGACATTTTGCTGATGTGTTGATATGATGCACCGCCAAGTGATAAATTCGAACTCCTTTAAATGACATTCATTTGTTGAGAGAAATATTTATACAAAAAATTGTATTTTTCAAGATCTCTAGTAAGATGAGCTCCGAGATATTAGTGTTATGTCAAAAAAGATGCGAACATTCTGTAGTATGCCCTCCAACTGTTCACTATTCGGCAGAGAAATTTCGGAGAATAATGTATGGAAAAGTACGGCATCCACAACTGATTTGGCTGTTGCGCCGGTTTGTCGTCGAAAACGTGAACTAGCCGTATCCGGTTGAAATTGCGTCCTGCGATAAGAGTTATTCGTGCCAACATTTGGCTGTTGCGCCGGTTTGTCGTCGAAAACGTGAACTAGCCGTATCCGGTTGAAATTGCGTCCTGCGATAAGAATTATTTCGTGCCAACAAGCGAGAATGCGCTGTAAAGCTGTCACCCTTATTGAAATTCGCCGGCAGTGCGATCCATCCTGAAGGTCAATGGGGTTTCCAAAATGTCCATCGATTTTCTCAAGACTCCTCAGGTGAGTATACTCAACGAGATTTTGGCGAACGCAGGATTGGAGACGCTTACCTTACTTCACAATAGACTTCGATACGAATGCTGTGAATAAACTCGGACGACTTTCTCAATTTTACGCCAAGATGTGTAGTTCTGTTCTCATAGTTCACCATTTGTAAACTAATTAATGGCCTGAAAATGGCCAAGTTTACATCTGGGATTGTTTGTCTTACCAAGAAAATCATACCGAAATAAGGACAACATCAACCCAGAGATCTCCAGGAATAATACGTGACAGTTCTATTGCACAATGGTGCCCAGAATTTGGCTAGACAAAACAGCTGGAAAATGGCAGTATTCGCGACACTACGATCGACATGCTACATTCTGCGTTGCTTTAAACCACTTGAAAACAGGGCAACATTAGGCCTAGCCAGAAGGAAATGAATGTCATGCAGCAATCACAGGGAAAGCAGCCGATTTTACATCATCCTAGTGCGTAGTGACGTGTCCCAAAAACCTTGTGGCAACAGTCTGTTGGAAGAAAAGTCAGCGATTTGTCCTCAGAAGATGACTTGCAACACATGACAAAAGTACCATATTGTAAGTTTAGTGTAATCCAGAAAACACGTAGGTAGTTAAGTGGGTGTGTTGGGCACACGCGGTCAAAAAGGTGCGCATTGTAACGCATATGCAAACAACTGAGTCACATGCCAACACATCCAACGAACAGGTCTCTGATATATTATTGGATGAAAAAGCTCCAAAACTATATGGTGAAGAATCACACACAAGATCAGCGGGTTGTGCAGAGTCGAAATGAACGATCGTTTTGAGAATCCCCGCAATACAGTTGAAATATGGATGGAGCTGATTGGATCCCAAAAAATGAGATTCAATATGAGCAATCATCGATGAGTACTGGTAGATATAATGGGTTTTGCTCCTTCCCTTAATTCCAGTTGGTCGTAAGTATGGGCTAAATTTAGTTTTAAAAATTACCTGTTCTCGCCTGTTTGTGCGTTAACGTCTTTGATTTAATGCAATGGGTAATGTTCTGCAGGAGTGCTGAAATTACCCGTGATTTTATAATAACAACAGATTCTAACTGTGCCATTCTATTTCAATTGGTACATAAGTTGAAGCCCACTGCGAGACCTCCGTGCCCTGAATTAGCTTTTTGAGTTGCAAACGGTTAAGTTCTTCTCCGACCTTTTGAGATATCAAGTAAGGAGATGACTGAGCCTTCAAAAAACACGGCTGTGTCCTCCGCGTAACATATATGTTCACCTTCCCGCATCTAAAAACGTGCCAGATTTTAATTCTGAAAATACTTCCTCACAATTGCGGATAAGGAAGTGAACCTCAGAGAGGGTTCAGATCTGCTTCAACGCAATTATGTGTAATTGTTTTGGCCAGCAACGTACTAACAATTTGTACCATTTCCTTCAGCAATATATACAGTTTATTTCACTGTTACGCCCTCATACGAAGCATTCACATTGTTCTCCTGTGCATTTTGGAAGCCTGATTGGGGCTTGGTGAAGCTTACCTCCCTCAGACGGTCCCTGCTGGCCTTGCAATGAATTCTCGCTGCATAATGTAACAACGCAACCTATATTCAGCTCGAAAATCATTGTCGCATTGTTCAGTTGTAGTTCCATGTGATACGTTGGTAGCACGCGATTTGAGTGAAAACTTGCATGAAGTATGTACTCCGGGAATTCTGGCCTTGTAACCTGATTCGTGACATACATTTACTTTCGAAAGCTGCTGCCAAACGGCACATTTTCGTGACGTGGTCACGTTTCTCACAAAGATTGCTAACAGTTTACATGTGCCCGCATTGCTTCGGTTAATTGTGTCGGCCCCCCACCTCAATTCGTTCTGTCCGATGAACAGTTCAAGGAAAACGCCTCAGAGCCATGGCGCTGAACCACTGTCACCCTACACACGGCTCTCAGCGCGGCAGCAAATCGATTACGACTCCACAAACTATGCAAGCTTGAGGGTGCTGCTATCATCATGGTTTATCTGCACATTACCTTCATCATGACTTGTGAAGTGCCTAAGATAGGTGAACCAACCAACACATTCAAGGTCAGTCGCTTAAGGTTTCGCAGAAGCACTAATGGACGAGAAACATCTATTTTGCGCAATCATAGATGACGCTAGCGGCATACATGTGTAGCTGACGAAGGTCCAGGAGACGTCCGCAAAGAATCCTGCAAAGTTTTCCTCTAAACCGTGCTCATAATCGAACCGCCTTCGTGGCCTTTGCTAGCTTCCAATTAAAATTTCAAGGAACTGGCAAACACCAGGGAATACTGCAACGTCAATATCCTGTTAAAAAGGAAATCTTTAACTTATTTAGGCAGCTGATATTACCTCTAATCAAACGCCGCATATTCGAGTGCTATTTTAATCTAGTTAGCCCAAGTTTCTGGTACTCGCGTGAGACAGCACTTTGTTGCTATTCTTGTGTATGTGAATGTTTTGTTTTGCTTACTTTATTATGCATTTCATTGTGGTTTCCACATGGAGTAGTTCCGATTTTAAATGGCATTTGTAAAACCCACCTTTAACCAACTTCAAACGTTTTTCTAAAGAAAGATAAAATGTTGAAAATTTTCGAAACCCTTTGGGGAATAATCGTTTCCCATTTTTTCCCGAAAAAAATTCAAAACAATGGACTGTTTTTGGTTGCTTACAACCAAACTATTTACATATACGTTTTCTTGTCCGCTCAAAATAAGACGTTTACAATGGGATGCGCGTTCAATCATCATAGGAGATTTTCATGCTAAAAGATGAATATACTATCATCTTATTGTCAGACTTCTACTGAATGGTACTTGGCTTCTCATTTTTCCTTGAAAATGAACCAAAAACGGGTCAAGATTAGTGAAGCTTCCACTATCTGTAGCCTCAAAATATTCGACGTTGTAAAGCATGGCTCTTGGCAAGTATAAACAGTATGAACAGTATGGACTTATTAGGCAGGGAAACCCGGGAATGTTGAAAATGTTTGGCAACGGAGCATGAAAACATCCCTTAGAATGGCCGTAATTCCAACTTCCTTCAGTCTTCTGTGTTTCATTTCTGGCGGTAAACTTGAATTTTATCGCAGCTGACACCGCCTCCATGGTGCTTTCTGGCATTATGGTATCGACTGGGTTCCATCACGTGACTCAGTCTCTAATAAAATCCTAAAACCCTCTCACATTATCACCACCTATCAGTGCAGATGCATGTGACGAAAGTAATACCGGGCTTCCGAAACGTTTGGCACATTAAAGTCAAGCCGTTTCAGTGTGCAAAGTCTCCTCAGGGGAATCACCACTGCTAGCAAGAATCAAGGCTGAAATTTCTGGGTAATATCAGACTCCGTTTGGCGGCGATTTGTTTTCAGTGTCCCTCGGATGATTCCTCCGACTGAAGGAATGGTCAGTTTATTCAAATACACCCGTTGGCACACCAAATTGGTCAGGACGAAATGCTCACCCGGAGGTCAGCTGAGTCTGTGGTTCGCGATGTTCTTGAGAAATTAAATAGGCGACTAAGTAGGCCGCTTCATGTTCGGTCACTACGACTTGCCGGATATCGCGATACATGCAACAATGTAATATATTGATCATAGAGTTACGCTCATAGGCCTTAATTTCGGTTACATAATGAAGGCCGAAACTGGTGGTTAAACGCCAGAAATTGTTTTTTCCACGAAAATGTAAATTTTATTTATTTACGATTTTCCCATCGGCGATGTGTTTTGGCGTCCAATCGCACGACAAGTTTCCGCCCGGGATCCATTAAATGTGTTGTAGTGTATAGTCGTAAACTTCACTCAAAATGAGATAAGCGGGTTCAGTAAAACGCTTGAAAACCTGTTTCTTCCAGTAGTCTCCTTTGTCCAAGCTCGTCAAATACGTATTACGTCTGCGCACATGTTGTTCTTCCATTTCTATGCATGGTTCAAAAGGTCGCCAGTTGTTGCGGGACTTCTTCAAGTTGTCCTTGTTGAAAGTTGATTCCGTTGTGTATTCTATTGAGCATGGCACAGAGTTATTTCGTTTCAGTCGTCCAGTGAAGTCTGCACAAAGTGTCATCCATTGCGCCAAGAGAAACGTCAACACCGCCTGACCTGGTATGTGTGGGTAATATGGATCCCACTGGGTACCTTTTTAGCGTTGATAAATTCTCTTTAAATTATGCTATAAAACTGGGCGCCGAATCCATTTTGGGATAAATGGAAATTGGACCGAAATTCTACCTCTTTGTTTATAAGACAGCGTGGTGTCACAAGGAGGATTGTGTATGCCACCAATCTTACCTTGAGCCTCGTTCAAAAATGCTGAAGTGGGCGGTACATTAGAAGGAGTTAAGAGATGACATAGCTTGCTTGATATGTTTTACGTGGGCGCCAAACTACACAGGGCGGTGATTTGCGGAAAATTATTGCTTCACCTGTATTGGCTGGAGGCCTGCTGATTGATTCGTCAGGTTTTCTGTCCGGTCGTAATCATTTGGTTATCGCAGAAGCGGATAGCTTCGGTGTACACTTTGACGATATCGCAACTAATGGTGAGCACTCGATACGAAAATATGTCCCGCGTTTGTGTACGCGAGAAATTTGGTTGAAATTGGCATACGATTCCGGGAATTATGGGGAGTACAATAAATCTGCATAAAACATCTTTTCTTGGTTAATGTCGTAAAGTCGTATATCTGAATAAGGTGTAATTATTAGCGGCAACTTACCTTCCAAGACTTTCAAGTACTCTGCAGTTGGAATGGGAGAATGCGGTCATTTAACGTGCTTCCGCATAATGGATAAAAGCAATTTCAAATCCTGTGCATATAATTCTAATTTACAGTACATCGTGCTTTGATGAGCGGGCAAATAGAAAGACGAGACGGCATTCAGTTTGAAGTCGTGCTCCGTTTTACGATGAAACGTTTGTGGCAATGTACACAATTAGGGATGATCAAAAAACCGGTAGACCTCAATCTGACCAATCTTTTTGTTGAAGAGAAAGAGGACACGGGGTCAGGATGAAATTCAACATGACCAAAACTCTTTTCAGATTACTGGAACCTGTTGCCGACTATTTGGTTGCGGGATACTTGTCGCGCAATCACACTGTATGCAGAGCCAATGTGCTGTGCGCTAAACATGCTGCATTTGTAATACTACAACATACTACTTGCATCCTGTCCCCGATCAATTAGACACTAAAGCCACTGATATGCCGATCAATAATGCAGTGTAGTTCCCCTAAGATGCCTCGCGGATTTTCTTGCTTTGAGACCAATTTCTTCGTAACGGTATAATTAAAAAATACGGTTTGCTCACTCACTTTTGTCTCCTTTTTTCGCTGTAACACAGCGAAGAAAACCGAACTAATTTTCTCGATCATTTCATTTTGCTCAGAAAATTGACCACGCATATCTGGATTATCTAGGCACTGTTTATCTGATATCGTGCAAAGCAATTTGATTCTACCTAGGGGGTCACATGAAACTCATGCCAGTTCAAAAAGAAACCACCACCTCGTATTTGATGCCAATATTTATTGCATGCATTAGTTTTCCCAGGTGATCAGCGCGGAACAATGATGATGCTCACCCAAATGCGTTAAGGTCATCCGCCGTGCCTGAGTTCATCTGCTGCAGTCCGAACACGTTTTGTAGGACGCTGAAATATGATGAATCAGACCGCGAAACACAGATAACTGCCAATAAAAGACCAAGACCCTGCTTCTTCCCGGTAAGCTTAGCTGTCTTCGTATGAGACGCGGGTCTTGTCGTAATGGGCCTTGTGTGCCTCAGTTATCTCGAGGGATGTACTCGATGGAAATCGGTGTCTGCAGGTACATTCGTGCCAAAACGGTGTAGGAGATCCAACAGACAAAAAAGGAATTCTCAAAATTGCGTTTCCAGGTGATTTGCTGATGAGTTTACGGCTCCTTTTAAAAACGTTCTCTTCAAGTGAACAGGAAACACATTTTCGAGGAAGCGAAGACAATCACTTCGCCTGAGATCGCGTGAAATGGAATATGCATTCCGATCGTCCAAATTTTGATCGTAACCTGTGATTCATCATATAATGATGGAAAAAATTGTCAAGTGGGTTTCCAGCTTCCGTGAACCTACCTGGCTGAGAAGTCCAGAGAGGTGGGCCAATTGATCGTCACTACCAGAACAGCTAGTGAGTCTCTGTCCGACGATTAATCGGGCACACCAACCACAAGGCTCACTCTTGAACGCGGTCACCTGTTCAGATCTCCAAAGCGTCAAACGTGCAATGATGGAATAGTGGTGACACGCTCACCTCACATGTCAGATGTTCCGCAGGGCTTTCGGTTGCGCACTGTTCATGAGCACAAATAAGAGCGTAACTCGGACGCAGTGCAACTCTTTGGTGCGGACTCACGGGGATAATTACGCCACAAGAAGAGAACGACCGTTTATGTGAGTTTGGAGTGAATATGGACAAAATACCAACCACGCAACACCCCACAAATCAAAGGTGGAAATTCTTCTAAAACCAAGTAATATGATTTCTATTCTATCATCAGGGGGTTAACAAGATAATTAAAAGAAAACCATACTACCTCATATCCCACGATTCAGCCATTTAATTTAGGGATTGCAGTGGAGACCTTCTAAGAAGGACCGAGATACACCTGCTGCCTGATTTCTCAGAAGAATCAAGGTGGGATGACACAAGTTGATCTTCTTGTTATGCTTGACCAACCTGAAAAGTATAATTCAATATCGCAGGCCTTAATCCAGGTCCTCGAGCTTTCATCAGGAAATTTCGTAAAGCGCACGCTTTCTGATTAACGGCGTTTACTATAATTTCTTTAATTATCGGTCTTTTTGCCTTACTTGCCAACTGACCGTGCTGGACATGAATCCAGGGGAAATCACTGGACTAAACTTTTTGTACACCCAGTGCCTTCGCGGGCTTTGAACTCTGGATATCGGACATGCGCACGAAGCGGATTGTAAACACCAAATGAGCGGACGTTCAACTCCAAATAGTGCTCGACAAACTGACGCACCGTAAATCGGTTTTGCTACTTGCTTTTCAAAAATAGTGCCAAAATACTGCTGGTGCACTATTAAAAATTGGCGCTGTTCGTATGATCGTGACAACGACAGTATGAATACTCTGTATGCAGCTATCCTCTCTACCTGTCCTCTCATTATTACCTTTTCGCTTTGCTTTCCAGGTCTAATTAACCTGGTATGTGGTAAAAATGCACTCATACATTTTGTTGTAAAGGTTCCACTGCTCAGACTGCTTCTTCCATATATGTGTGAAAATTATTTTAACGCCTATATTAATTGGTTGGGGTAACAAAACTTCTTTGAATACACAGAACGGAAGAAAGGAACTTACCCTTGAGAACATTTGCTGCAAATATGAGACGACCATGTCCATTCTCTTTTGCCCGATATAACGGCGCACAAAATGACAATACCTCTAGCCCAGAAAACTGAGGTTCACATGTATCCATCGCACATCTACGGTTTTCTAATAACTAAGTCCTGAAGTACCAAAGAAAGAAAGCACAATAAATCAAAGCCTGTCAGT